AAGTGAAAGTTGAGACAGATATACAATCAGTTACTGGTGTTCCCGGAATTGAAAGGCTGGAGATGGAGAAAGATGGAGACACTTAATGGGAGTGTCCCCCTCGCTGTGATGTCGATTCCTAATTCAACATACTACAAATAAAGCCTTGACCACAACATGCTGTGCTTTGGTCAACAGAAACACACAAAAACAATTACAGCAACAGTCAAATAAGCCTCAACAATATCCCAACAAATGTAGCTGTTCAATGCATATATATGTACATGATCAGCGAAAGAACAGAGATTCCAAAAACTGTATTACACAAATGTATGAATGTATGATCAGTGGGGGAACAGACATCCCAATAACTAATCTGTGTATTTGGAGTGTCCACTCCTGCTGGGTTGATGTCCTGTCCAACATCTGTACTCTAGAGGTAGCTCTGTGTCCACTCCTACTGGACTGACATGCTGTCCAACATTTGTACTCTAGAGGTAGCTCTATCCACTCCTACTGGACTGACATCCTGTCCAACATTTGTACTCTAGAGGTAGCTCTGTGTCCACTCCTACTGGACTGACATACTGTCCAACATTTGTACTCTAGAGGTAGCTCTATGCACTCCTACTGGACTGACATCCTGTCCAACATTTGAACTCTAGAGGTAGCTCTGTGTCCACTCCTACTAGACGGATATACTGTCCAACATTTGTACTCTAGAAGTAGCTCCGTGTCCACACCTACTGGACTGACATCCTGTCCAACATTTGTACGTTGACATCCTGTCCAACATTTGTACTCTAGAGGTTGCTCTGTGTCCACACCTACTGGACTGACATCCTCTAACAACATTTGTACTCTAGAGGTTGCTATGTGTCCAGTCCTACTGGACTGACAAGCTCTCCAACATTTGTACTCTAAGACTAATAGAGGAAGCTCTTTGAGCCCACTCAATGATAATATGCAGTGATGCACCAATCCAACTATTTTGTTCACAGTAAAAAAAAAATGTTAAAAAGGAACATTTTGAACAAATAACATGTGATACATTCAAGAGAGATGAATAAATAAGAGAAATGTCTTGGTAACCACGATAACAACAGTTATAAGGCAAAGAAGATGATGCAGAATTGGACAAATCCTGTTTACCTTTGCATAGTTGTGTTCTGAGTGAGCTTTACGCAGCATCCGTTTCATTGCGTCAGACTAAGATCACAATTTTCTACCTGGAATAATTTAACACTTTCTCTGTGCGACCAAGATTACATGATCTGTATGCGACCAAGATGACATGATCTGTGTGCGACCAAGATTAGATGATCTGTGTGCGACCAAGATTACATGATCTGTGTGCGACCAAGATTAGATGATCTGTGTGCGACCAAGATTACATGATCTGTGTGCGACCAAGATGACATGATCTGTGTGCGACCAAGATTAGATGATCTGTGTGCGACCAAGATTACATGATCTGTGTGCGACCAAGATTACATGATCTGTGTGCGACCAAGATTACATGATCTGTGTGCGACCAAGATTACATGATCTGTGTGCGACCAAGATCACATGATCTGTGTGCGACCAAGATCACACGATCTGTGTGCGACCAAGATTACATGATCTGTGTGCGACCAAGATTAGATGATCTGTGTGCGACCAAGATTACATGATCTGTGTGCGACCAAGATTACATGATCTGTGTGCGACCAAGATTACATGATCTGTGTGCGACCAAGATTACATGATCTGTGTGCGACCAAGATCACACGATCTGTGTGCGACCAAGATTACATGATCTGTGTGCGACCAAGATTACATGATCTGTGTGCGACCAAGATCACACGATCTGTGTGCGACCAAGATTAGATGATCTGTGTGCGACCAAGATTACATGATCCGTATGCGACCAAGATGACATGATCTGTGTGCGACCAAGATTAGATGATCTGTGTGCGACCAAGATTACATGATCTGTGTGCGACCAAGATTACATGATCTGTGTGCGACCAAGATTACATGATCTGTGTGCGACCAAGATTACATGATCTGTATGCGACCAAGATCACATGATCTGTGTGCAACCAAGATTACATGATCTGTGTGCGACCAAGATTACATGATCTGTGTGCGACCAAGATCACATGATCTGTGTGCGACCAAGATTACATGATCTGTGTGCGACCAAGACCATATGCTCTGTATGAAACTAATATTGCATGTTCTGTGTGCAAGTAAGATCATATGTTCTGTGAGCGACCAAGATCAAATGCTCTGTGTAGGACTAAAATTATATGTTTTGTGTGAGAGCAAGATCACATGTTTTTGTGTGAACAAGATCACACGTTCTGTGGAGGACTAAAATCACATGCACTGTGTGCGACCAAGGTCACATTTTATGTTTGAGACCAAAATTACATGTTCTGTGTGCAGCCAAAATCACAAGTTCTGTGTGTGACCAAGATCACATTGTCTTTATTTGACCAAGATCACATTTTCTGTGTGCAACCAAGATCAAATGTCCTGTGAACGTTTTCTTTTTGTCACTAATGTCACAGGTTCAATCACATTTCTCTGCGGGACCATGATTTATTTTGTGTACACTATAATTGTTTCTATGTTGGATGCTTTCGGCATTATAATGGTTTCCATGTGGGACTAGTTTTCTATATTATGTTTTCTATGTGGGATGTTTTCTATATTATAATGTTTTCTTTGTGGGATAAAGATTGCTTTCTACATTATGTTTTCAATAGAAGACTTATCTTTCTGTATTATAATGTTTTCTATGGGAGACTAGCTTTCTGTATTATAATGTTTTCTATGGGAGACTAGCTTTCTGCATTATAATGTTTTCTATGGGAAATTAGCTTTCTGTATTATATTGTTTTCTTTGGGAGACTAGTTTTCTGCATTATGATGTTTTCTATGGGAGACTAGATTTCTGCATTATAATGTTTTCTTTGGGAGACTAGCTTTCTGTATTATAATGTTTTCTATAGGAGACTAGCTTTCTGTTTTATAATGTTTTCTATGGGAGACTAGCTTTCTGCATTATAATGTTTTCTTTGGGAGACTAGCTTTCTGTATTATAATGTTTTCTATGGGAGACTAGCTTTCTGCATTATAATGTTTTCTATGGGAAATTAGCTTTCTGTATTATGTTTTCTTTGGGAGACTAGTTTTCTGCATTATGATGTTTTCTTTGGGAGACTAGCTTTCTGTATTATAATGTTTTCTATAGGAGACTAGCTTTCTGTTTTATAATGTTTTCTATGGGAGACTAGCTTTCTGTATTATAATGTTTTCTATGGGAGACTAGGTTTCTGCATTATAATGTTTTCTTTGGGAGACTAGCTTTCTGTATTATGTTTTCTATGGGAGACTAGCTTTCTGTATTATAATGTTTTCTATGGGAGACTAGGTTTCTGCATTATAATGTTTTCTATGGGAGACTAGCTTTCTGTATTATAATGTTTTCTATGGGAGACTAGCCTTCTGTATTATAATGATTTCTATGGGAGACTAGCTTTCTGTATTATAATGATTTCTATGGGAGACTAGCTTTCTGTATTATAATGATTTCTATGGGAGACTAGCTTTCTGTATTATAATGATTTCTATGGGAGACTAGCTTTCTGTATTATAATGATTTCTATGGGAGACTAGCTTTCTGTATTATAATGATTTCTATGGGAGACTAGCTTTCTGTATTATAATGTTTTCTATGGGAGACTAGCTTTCTGTTTTATAATGATTTCTATGGGAGACTAGCTTTCTGTATTATAATGATTTCTATGGGAGACTAGCTTTCTGTATTATAATGATTTCTATGGGAGACTAGCTTTCTGTATTATAATGATTTCTATGGGAGACTAGCTTTCTGTATTATAATGTTTTCTATGGGAGACTAGGTTTCTGCATTATAATGTTTTCTATGGGAGACTAGCTTTCTGTATTATAATGTTTTCTATGGGAGACTAGCCTTCTGTATTATAATGATTTCTATGGGAGACTAGCTTTCTGTATTATAATGATTTCTATGGGAGACTAGCTTTCTGTATTATAATGATTTTCTTTGCGGGACAATTGTTCTACATTATGTGTTTTCTGTGTGGGACAATATTATTTTTGATATTTAAATATTTTCTATGTGGGATGTCGGCTCTGTGGCTAAGTCGATGAAAATGCTTCGTAATGCCGGGGTGCCAGGTTCGATCCAAGCTGCAGGCCATGTGCTTTGTGTTGGTTTCGACAGTAGTATCAAGAAAGCCGACCGTCCAGAAAATAATGGCAAACTACTGGATGTAAATTTGCCTAGAAACCACACAACAGACAGGGGCTGTTGGGTTGGTTCTGCAACGTCCTGTAAAGGATACGCAACAACCTATGTGGGATGTTTTCTACAACATAAATTTTTCAATGTAGGACTAGTTTTCTACATTATGTTTTCTATGTGGTATGTTTTCTATATTGTAATGTTTTCTGTGCGGGACATTTTTCTACATTATAATATATTCTGTGTGGAACATTTTCTGCAGTATAATGTTTTCTACGTGGGATTAGTTTTCTACATTACAATGTTTTCTGTGTGGGACATTTTCTACATTATAATGTTATCTATGTTAAACCAGTTTTCTACATTATATTTTCTATGTAGGACTAGTTTTCTACATTATAATGTCTTCTGTATGGGAACAGTTTTCTATATTATAATATTTTCTATATGGACCAATAACATATTTTCTTCATTATGATTTCTATGTGGGACCAAGACGATATATTTTATAAACTACGAATGTAGCAACTAATCAAATAAAAACTACAAGAAAAAGCTTGATCAACATTCTCAAATATGAAAACAGAATTAAGTATTAAAGCCTGGAACAACATCAGGTTTGACTTGATCATGTCAATTCCGCTGTTACCAGTAGTGGCATATCTCCTCAATCTTGGATTGTCTGCTGCAGTGACAGGCTTCGAGCAGCAACCAGAAACTTGCCACTGTTGGACAGACAGGCTCAGGCTTTCCAAGGAGAAACTGCCTTCTCACGGACAAACTGGCCCCTAGGACTCTGCACATTGGGAGGTAGCAAGGCCAGGTAGACTGGAGTTTCTGCCCCTGAAATAATGATAGTCAACTATTAGGTTCACACAGTTTCACTGTAACCATTGAAATAATGATAGTCAACTAATTGGTTCACACAGTTTCAATGTAACCACTGAAATAATGATAGTCAACTAATAGGTTCACACAGTTTTAATGTAACCACTGAAATAATGATAGTCAACTAATAGGTTCACACAGTTTCACTGTAACCACTGAAATAATGATAGTCAACAATTAGGTTCACATAGTTTCAATAAAACCACTGAGATAATGATAGTCAACTAATAGGTTCACACAGTTTCACTGTAACCATCGAAATAATGGTCTTATTCTAGCTGACATCTTTATGGCACACTCAGTCAATTTAATGGTTTCTGGTGTTAATCAATGCTTTGTGTTTCTGTTCTTTCTTACCAAGAACTTCTACACAAGATTTATTCTAGATTCTGCTGTTATAGGCCCTAGATCTTTGCTGGCTGACTCAGCTGGTTGTGCTGTTATAGGCCCTAGATCTATGCTGGTTGACACAGCTGATTCTGCTGTTATAAGCCCTAGATTTATGCTGGTTGACACAGCTGGTTGTGCTGTTATAGGCCCTAGATTTATGCTGGCTGACACAGCTGGTTGTGCTGTTATAGGCCCTAGATCTATGCTGGCTGACACAGCTGACTGTGCAGCTATAGGCCCTAGTTCTGTGCTGGCTGACACAGCTGAATGTGCAGCTATAGGCCCTAGATCTGTGCTGGCTGACACAGCTGACTGTGCACCTATAGGCCCTAGATCTGTGCTGGCTGACACAGCTGACTGTGCAGCTATAGGCCCTAGATCTATGCTGGCTGACACAGCTGACTGTGCAGCTATAGGCCCTAGATCTATGCTGGCTGACACAGCTGACTGTGCAGCTATAGGCCCTAGATCTTTGCTGGCTGACACAGCTGACTGTGCAGCTATAGGCCCTAGATCTATGCTGGCTGACACAGCTGACTGTGCAGCTATAGGCCCTAGATCTTTGCTGGCTGACACAGCTGGTTGTGCTGTTATAGGCCCTAGATCTGTGCTGGCTGACACAGCTGACTGTGCAGCTATAGGCCCTAGATCTATGCTGGCTGACACAGCTGACTGTGCAGCTATAGGCCCTAGATCTTTGCTGGCTGACACAGCTGACTGTGCTGTTATAGGCCCTAGATTTATGCTGGCTGACACAGCTGACTGTGCTGTTATAGGCCCTAGATCTATGCTGGCTGACACAGCTGACTGTGCTGTTATAGGCCCTAGATCTATGCTGGCTGACACAGCTGACTGTGCTGTTATAGGCCCTAGATCTATGCTGGCTGACACAGCTGACTGTGCTGTTATAGGCCCTAGATCTATGCTGGCTGACACAGCTGACTGTGCAGCTATAGGCCCTAGATCTATGCTGGCTGACACAGCTGATTGCAGCTATAGGCCCTAGTTCTGTGCTGGCTAACACATTTAGTTGTTTTTTAAAAACATTTTGGCCTGAGTAAACTTAGTTTGAATAGCTCTGCTGTAGGCCCTACATGTGGCTGGCTGACACACACATACAAGTTTTTTCAAAGTGAAATGATCTGCTTCACTGCCCCCCCACACTTGATTCCATACTGGTCTGGTATCTCTCACAAAGCAGCTGTTTGCTAGCTATGAACATCACACAAACTATGAGACTCCATAGCTACAAAAACCCACAGAGATCTATACAGTGAACTATATAAACACAAGAAGACTATATGATGTTTACCTTGGTCAATGGTCAGCTGCCCCTTGTGACTGCTCATGTCTGTGGCCACATACCCTGGACAGCACTAGCAATCATATGTGGATGAAGTTAATATTATATATATCATTAGATACTATCTATCATCAGATGCTATAAGACATCAGACAAAATAAATCATTAAATGATATAAATCACTATTATCTGTAAAACACGCAACACTAAAAACTATGAATCACTGTTATCTATAAAACACTCAACACTATAAACTATAAATCACTGTTATCTATAAAACACTCAACACTATAAACTATAAATCACTGTTATCTATAAAAAACTCAACACTATAAACTATAAATCACTGTTAACTTTAAACCACTCAACACTAAATCACTGTTATCTATAAAACACTCAACACTATAAATCACTGTTATCTATAAAACACTCAACACTATAAATCACTGTTATCTATAAAACACTCAACACTATAAACTATAAATCAATGTTATTTATAAAACACTCAACACTATAAACTATAAATCACTGTTATTTATAAAACACTCAACACTATAAACTATAAATCACTGTTATCTATAAAACACTCAACACTATAAACTATAAATCACTGTTATCTATAAAACACTCAACACTATAAAATATAAATCACTGTTATCTATAAAACACTCAACACTATAAACTATAAATCACTGTTATCTATAAAACACTCAACACTATAAACTATAAATCACTGTTATTTATAAAACACTCAACACTATAAACTATAAATCACTGTTATTTATAAAACACTCAACACTATAAACTATAAATCACTGTTATCTATAAAACACTCAACACTATAAACTATAAATCACTGTTATCTATAAAACACTCAACACTATAAACTATAAATCACTGTTATCTATAAAACACTCAACACTATAAACTTTAAATCACTGTTACCTATAAAACAACACTATAAACTATAAATCACTGTTATCTATAAAACACTCAACACTATAAACTATAAATCACTGTTATCTATAAAACACTCAACACTATAAATCACTGTTATCTATAAAACACTCAACACTATAAACTATAAATCACTGTTATCTATAAAACACTCAACACTATAAACTATAAATCACTGTTATCTATAAAACACTCAACACTATAAACTATGAATCGCTACAACTGTCATGTGCCAGACCAAGCATCAACTAGCTTTAGATCATGTGGGTAAATGTCCTTCACATCCCTGGAACTGACTCACACGATATAGTTCTCACACAGGTCACAGCATCAAGTACACTCTTGCTCATGTACACCACACAGAAATTGACAACTTGCTCATGTACACCACACACATGGGACAACTTGCTCATGTACACTACACAGATATCTGACAACTTGTTCATGTACACCATACAGATATGGACAACTGGTTCATGTACACCACACAGATATGGGACAACTTGTTCATGTACACCACACACACATGGGACAACTTGCTCATGTACACTACACAGATATCTGACAACTTGTTCATGTACACCATACAGATATAGGACAACTGGTTCATGTACACCATACAGATATGTGACAACTTGCTCATGTACACTACACAGATATATGACAACTTGTTCATGTACACCATACAGATATGTAACAACTTGTTTATGTACACCATAAAGATATGTGACAACTTGTTCATGTACACCATACAGATATCTGACAACTTGTTCATGTACACCATACAGATATGTGAAAACTTGTTCATGTACACCATAAAGATATGCGACAACTTGTTCATGTACACTACACAGATATCGGACAACTGGTTCATGTACACCATAAAGATATGTGACAACTTGTTCATGTACACCATACAGATATCTGACAACTTGTTCATGTACACCATACAGATATGTGAAAACTTGTTCATGTACACCATAAAGATATGAGAACTTGTTCATGTACACTACACAGATATCTGACAACTTGTTCATGTACACCATTCAGATATGTGACAACATGTTCATGTACACCACAAAGATTTCTGACAACTTGTTCATGTACAACATACAGATATCTGATAACTTGTTCATGTACACCATAAAAATATGGGACAACTTGTTCATGTACACCATACAGATATGGGATAACTTGTTTATGTACACCGTACAGATATAGGACAACTTGTTTATGTACACCATACAGATATATGACAACTTGTTCATGTACACCATACAGATATGGGACAACATGTTCATGTACAGAATAAAGATATGGGCCAACTTGTTCATGTACACCATACAGATATGGGACAACTTGTTTATGTACACCATACAGATATATGACAACTTGTTCATGTACACCATACAGATATGGGACAACATGTTCATGTACAGAATAAAGATATGTGACAACATGTTCATGTACACCATACAGATATCTGACAACTTGTTCATGTACACCATACAGATATCTTACAACTTGTTCATGTACACCACACAGATATCTGACAACATGTTCATGTATAACATACAGATATATGAAAACTTGTTCATGTACACCATACAGATATGTGACAACTTGTTCATGTACACCATACAGATATCTGAAAATTTGTTTATGCACACCATACAGATATGTGACAACTTTTTCATGTACACCATACAGATATCTGAAAACTTGTTCATGTACACCATACAGATATCTACAACTTGTTCATGTACACCATACATATATCTGACAACTTGTTCATGTACACCATAAATATAGGGGACAACTTGTTCAAATACATCATACAGATATGTGACAACTTGTTTATATACACCATACAGATATCTGACAACTTGTTCATGTACACCATACATATATCTGACAACTTGTACATGTACATCATACAGATATCTGACAACTTGTTCATGTACACCATACAGATATCTGACAACTTGTTCATGTACACCATACAGATATCTGACAACTTGTTCATGTACACCATACAGATATCTGACAACTTGTTCATGTACACTATACAGATATCTGACAACTTGTTCATGTACACCATACAGATACATGTCAGAGATGTGAACATGCTGGAGACAGACACAAGCTGGTAGGACAGACACAAGCTGGTAGGACAGACACAAGCTGGTAGGACAAACACAAGCTGGTAGGACAGACACAAGCTGGTAGGACAGACACAAGCTGGTAGGACAGACACAAGCTGGTAGGACAGACACAAGCTGGTAGGACAGACACAAGCTGAGAGGACATACACAAGCTAGACGGCCATACACAAGCTGGTAGGACATACACAAGCTGGTAGGACAGACACAAGCTGAGAGGACATACACAAGCTAGACGGCCATACACAAGCTGGTAGGACAGACACAAGCTGAGAGGACATACACAAGCTAGACGGCCATACACAAGCTGGTAGGACAGACACAAGCTGGTAGGACAGACACAAGCTGGTAGGACAGACACAAGCTGAGAGGACATACACAAGCTAGACGGCCATACACAAGCTGGTAGGACATACACAAGCTGGTAGGACAGACACAAGCTGAGAGGACATACACAAGCTAGACGGCCATACACAAGCTGGTAGGACAGACACAAGCTGAGAGGACATACACAAGCTAGACGGCCATACACAAGCTGGTAGGACATACACAAGCTGGTAGGACAGACACAAGCTGAGAGGAGATACATAAGCTCGTAGGATAGACACAAGCTGGTAGGACAGACACAAGCTGAGAGGACATACACAAGCTAGACGGCCATACACAAGCTGGTAGGACATACACAAGCTGGTAGGACAGACACAAGCTGAGAGGAGATACATAAGCTCGTAGGATAGACACAAGCTGGTAGGACATACACAAGCTGGGATATAAGATAAGCTAGGAGGACAGATACAAGCTGAGAACCACCCCCCCCCCCCCTCCCTCCAAACTACACACAGTGAAAGAGAAAATAATGGAACTTACTGCATTGACCACAATGTCCTCCTTGCCTTGTCTGTCCAGTTGCCGCTGCTGAATGATAGACATGACAGTCACACCAATCTTGGACATCCCATATGCTGTCTGTGGGAAGCCTTCTTGGTCAAGTGTGTTGTCCTGAGCTGCCCTGGAGGACACCAAGTGATCCGTTTACTATGTTTACCTACATCTGACAGACTCTTATTTTGAGATAATCTTCTTCAGAACTCTCAGCTCCCGAAGTTTATTGCTACATATATCTGTAGCCTCCATTCATCATTGTGACTGGCCATTTTGTCCAGATGGTGACTCCAAGTGTTTGTAGGTCTGCCTGTATGTTCTCTACCACCTTCTGGTTGACCTCTATTTACCACTTTTATGTATGCAGCTTCTTTCTGTTGTCTCCCACCTCTCTATATGACTCAACCATCGTAGTCTATTAGCCCTCATGAAACCAGTAACTAGGGACAATCATAAAATGTGATGGCAGATGTCTCAAAGAGAATGGGATAAGAACTGGTACAACTATATAGGAAAAATCATACCACCTGATGGCATATGCCTTGTAGTGGCTGAACAGCTGTAACGCCTGATGGCAGATGCCTTGTAGTGGCTGAACAGCTGTAACGCCTGATGGCAGATGCCTTGTAGTGGCTGAACAGCTGTATCACCTGATAGCAGATGCCCTGTAGTGGCTGAACAGCTGTATCACCTGATGGCAGATGCCTTGTAGTGGCTGAACAGCTGTATCACCTGATAGCAGATGCCTTGTAGTGGCTGAACAGCTGTATCACCTGATAGCAGATGCCCTGTAGTGGCTGAACAGCTGTATCACCTGATGGCAGATGCCTTGTAGTGGCTGAACAGCTGTATCACCTGATGGTAGATGACTTGTAGTGGCTGAACAGCTGTATCACCTGATGGTAGATGACTTGTAGTGGCTGAACAGCTGTAACACCTGATAGCAGATGCCCTGTAGTGGCTGAACTGCTGTAACACCTGATAGCAGATGCCCTGTAGTGGCTGAACAGCTGTAACACCTGATAGCAGATGCCCTGTAGTGGCTGAACTGCTGTAACGCCTGATGGCAGATGCCTTGTAGTGGCTAAACTGTTGTATCACGTGATGGTAGATGACTTGTAGTGGCTAAACAGCTGTAACACCTGATAGCAGATGCCCTGTAGTGGCTGAACTGCTGTAACGCCTGATGGCAGATGCCTTGTAGTGGCTAAACTGTTGTATCACGTGATGGTAGATGACTTGTAGTGGCTAAACAGCTGTAACACCTGATAGCAGATGCCCTGTAGTGGCTGAACTGCTGTAACGCCTGATGGCAGATGCCTTGTAGTAGCTGAACAGCTGTATCACCTGATGGCAGTTGCCCTGTAGTGGCTAAACAGCTGTAACACCTGATAGCAGATGCCCTGTAGTGGCTGAACTGCTGTAACGCCTGATGGCAGATGCCTTGTAGTGGCTAAACTGTTGTATCACGTGATGGTAGATGACTTGTAGTGGCTGAACTGTTGTATCACGTGATGGTAGATGCCTTGTAGTGGAGGCATTACAACCCAACCTATTAAAGAGTTCATTTCTCTGTTCACCTAATCCAATTTATTTTTCAATTTACATGTAAGTACCAGTTGATTTACATCGGACGAACGGAGAGACAGCTTGGAAATAGAGTGACAGAGCACATTTCCAAATCGCTACATTCTTAGTTCAATGATTCTTCAAGGGTGTCGAGACCAGTCAAGAGGAAAGAACCCACTTCTTCCATAGGACGTCATTTGCTTAATTCTGGACATGTAACTGACAAAGACAGTGCTTTCAGTGTGGTTTATCACATACTGAACAGGTGACTGCAGAGAATGGCCGAAGCTTTAACAATTAAAATCAATAGCCCCCCACTTTTGTAAGCAGACTGAATTTATAGTAAATTTGATGCATCGAAAGAAACTATTCACATTTCAGTTGGATTTATTCAGTTGTGTGCTTCATTTTACGTCTATGTAACTCTGTACTAACGCACCTGACGAGATACAGCAAAATATGTCTGGCAATAAATTGAGCAATGTATTGTTTGTCCCCATTGTTTAGATTCATTACAATAAAACATTATTTTGAATATTTTCATGTACATATACTATTATATGAAGGACTCCAGGTTGTCACAAAGACATTTTGCACAGACCTAACCAAGAGTACATGCTCAAGTACTACATAATCTATTGTTGTGTTTAGACCCCAACAAATACATACATCTTGCTAGGAGATAAGCTACAAGTTATATTTTACAGCAAAGTAGTCGGAGAAGCAGTTTGTGTGTGTCTGAGTTTTGTGGATCTCAGAAATAAGATAGCCTCTGGATGCCACAGCAGTTAACAGCCTTGTTGTGCTGGATGCCACAGCAGTTAACAGCCTTGTTGTGCTGGATGCCACAGCAGTTAACAGCCTTGTTGTGCTGGATGCCACAGCAGTTAACAGCCTTGTTGTGCTGGATGCCACAGCAGTTAACAGCCTTGTTGTGCTGGATGCCACAGCAGTTAACAGCCTTGTTGTGCTGGATGCCACAGCAGTTAACAGCCTTGTTGTGCTGGATGCCACAGCAGTTAACAGCCTTGTTGTGCTGGATGCCACAGCAGTTAACAGCCTTGTTGTGCTGGATGCCACAGCAGTTAACAGCCTTGTTGTGCTGGATGCCACAGCAGTTAACAGCCTTGTTGTGCTGGATGCCACAGCAGTTAACAGCCTTGTTGTGCTGGATGCCACAGCAGTTAACAGCCTAGTTGTGCTGGATGCCACAGCAGTTAACAGCCTTGTTGTGCTGGATGCCACAGCAGTTAACAGCCTTGTTGTGCTGGATGCCACAGCAGTTAACAGCCTTGTTGTGCTGGATGCCACAGCAGTTAACAGCCTTGTTGTGCTGGATGCCACAGCAGTTAACAGCCTTGTTGTGCTGGATGCCACAGCAGTTAACAGCCTTGTTGTGCTGGATGCCACAGCAGTTAACAGCCTTGTTGTGCTGGATGCCACAGCAGTTAACAGCCTTGTTGTGCTGGATGCCACAGCAGTTAACAGCCTAGTTGTGCTGGATGCCACAGCAGTTAACAGCCTTGTTGTGCTGGATGCCACAGCAGTTAACAGCCTTGTTGTGCTGGATGCCACAGCAGTTAACAGCCTTGTTGTGCTGGATGCCACAGCAGTTAACAGCCTTGTTGTGCTGGGACACTAACCATTGTGTCTGAGTATGCATGAATCATTAATTTAAGAACAAAGCTGTTTAAATTAACTAGATGTTTATTTGCAAGTCAGCATTTATGCTGAAGATAAGAGACTGTGGAATTGTTATACATTTGTGCTGGAGATAAGAGACTGTAGAATTGTTATACATTTGTGCTGGAGATAAGAGACTGTAGAATTGTTATACATTTGTGCTGGAGATAAGAGACTGTAGAATTGTTATACATTTGTGCTGGAGATAAGAGACTGTGGAATTGTTATACATTTATGCTGGAGATAAGAGACTGTGGAATTGTTATACATTTGTGCTGGAGATAAGAGACTGTAGAATTGTAATACATTTGTTGAGGTCAAGATGATGATCCTATAGTTGCGGATATATTTGGATTCAAACTTTCTTAGACAGCTAGCCTGAGAATGACAGTGTTGATTTTGTCTATGCTGGATTTTGACAAGTACAGTTTTCATTTATCAGTTGTTCCTAGTGGCATTCTGGTTGTTACAGATTGTTCATGCAGAACTTTTTCCTGCTGTTCACGGTGAAAATCATACGTGTTGACTCTAGACCTGAATTTTGTTTTTTTAAGCAAGTTCCATACTGTGTTGACTTGTTGATATCCCAATTGATCGTACATGCATCATCATGCAAAGCCACACATTTCACAGCCCCCCCTCCCCCTGGTGTAGTGCAGACATACTATTATGTTGAAGGTCTCAGGGTTATCTCTGTAAATAAGCTTACTGCACAAACTGCTTCATGATGGATGTCAGCTCCTCCATTGTGATGTCTGGATCAGTAAATCTGGACTTCCACTTGTCCGAGCACTTAGCCAAGGCCACCTGTGACAGCATGCTGGACACATTGACAACTCTGTGAACAAGGTCAAATAACTTAATCGTCTGGCTCACAACTGTGACATTCAGAAATGTTTATAGTTAGACCGACATTCAGAAATGTTTATAGTTAGACTGACATTCAGAAATGTTTATAGTTAGACTGACATTGAGAAATGTTTATAGTTAGACTGACATTGAGAAATGTTTATAGTTTGACATTCAGAAATGTTTATATATAAACTGTGACATGCAGAAATGTTTATAGTTAGACTGAAATTCAGAAATGTTTATAGTTTGACATTTAGAAATGTTTATAGTTAGACTGACATTCAGAAATTTTTATATATAAACTGTGACATTTAGAAATGTTTATAGTTAGACTAACATTTAGAAATGTTTATAGTTAGACTGAATTTCAGAAATGTTTATTGTTAGACAATCAGAAATGTTTATATATAAACTGTGACATTCAGAAATGTTTATAGTTAGACTGACATTCAGAAATGTTTATATATAAACTGTGACATTCAAAAATTTTTATATATAGACTGTGACATTCAGAAATGTTTTTAGTTAGACTGACATTAAGAAATGTTTATAGTTAGACTGACATTCAGAAATGTTTATATATAAACTGTGACATTCATAAATGTGTATAGTTAGACTGACATTGAGAAGTGTTTATATATAAACTGTGACATTCAGAAATGTTTATATATAGACTGTGACATTCAGAAATGTTTATAGTTAGACTGATTCAGAAATGTTTATAGTTAGACTGACATTCAGAAATGTTTATATATAAACTGTGACATTCAGAAATGTTTATATCTGGACTGTGACATTCAGAGTTGTTTATATCTGGACTGTGACACTCAGAAATGTTTATATCTGGACTGCCACATACAGAGTTGTTTGTATCTGAGCTGTGATATTCAGAAATGTTTATATCTGGACTGTGACATTCAGAGTTGTTTATATCTAGACTGTAACATTTAGAAATGTTTAAATCTGGACTGCGATATTCAGAGTTGTCTATATCTGGACTGTGACATTCAAAAATGTTTATATTTGGACTGTGAAATTCAGAAATGTTTATATCTGAACTGCAACATTCAGAGTTGTTTATATCTGGACTGTAACATTCAGAGTTGTTTATATCTGGACTGTGACATTCAGAAATATTTATATCTGAACTGCAACATTCAGAGTTGTTTATATCTGGACTGCAACATTCAGAGTTGTTTATATCTGGACTGTGACATTCAGAAATGTTTATATCTGGACTGTGACATTCAGAAATGTTTATATCTGGACTGTGACATTCAGAGTTGTTTATATCTGGACTGTGACATTCAGAAATGTTTATATCTGGACTGTGACATTCAGAGTTGTTTATATCTGGACGGTGACATTCAGAAATGTTTATATCTGGACTGTGACATTCAGAGTTGTTTATATCTGGACTGTGACATTCAGAAATGTTTATATCTGGACTGTGACATTCAGAGTTGTTTATATCTGGACTGTGACATTCAGAAATGTTTATATCTGGACTGTGACATTCAGAGTTGTTTATATCTGGACTGTGACATTCAGAAATGTTAATATCTGGACTGTGACATTCATAAATGTTTATATCTGGACTGTGACATTCAGAAATGTTTATGAACTGTGAAATTCATAAATGTTTATTTAGGAACTGTGACAAAAGAAATGTTTATATATGAAATGTGACATTCATAAATGTTTACTTCTGGACTGTGACATTCATAAATGTTTATATCTGGACTGTGACATTCATAAATGTTTATATCTGGACTGTGACATTCAGAAATGTTAATATCTGGATTGTAACACTAGGAAATATTTATATCTAGACTGAGAAATACAGAAATGTTTATTTATGAACTGTGATATTCAGAAATGATTATGAATGGTAAAATTCAGTAATGCTTACATCTGGACTGTGACATTCAGAAATGTTTATATCCGACATGTGACATTCACAAATTTTTATATCTAGACTTTGACATTTAGGAATATTTATCTATAGACTTTGCCAATGTTAATTTTTGCATTGTCCCATCCATTATTGTTTATAGACTAAAGACATTCAGATGTGCTAATTTATGAGCTGTGACATTAAAAAAATGTCTTTGGATTGTGATATTCAGAAATGTTTGAATATTGACTGACATTCAGAAATATTTCTGCAATTTATATCTGGACTGTGACATTTAGGAATGTTTACTAAACTTTAATATTCAAAAATACATATCCAAAAACTGTGAGAAACTATAACATTTAAAAATATTTACTTCAAAACTGTGGGCTATGACATTCAGAATCAGTTATCCTGCGACTTGAAACATTCAGAAACTGTTATCCTCCAACTTAAGACATTTAGAAATAGTTATCCTTCAACATTCAGAAATTGTTATCCTTAAACTTAAGACATTCAGAAATAGTTAACCTCAAACTTCAGACATTCAGAAATAATTACCTCTCCAACTTCAGCCATTCAGAAGTTGTTATCCTCAAATTTCATTCAGATATAGTTATCCTCAAACTTCAGACTTTCAGAAATAGTTATCCTCCAACTTGAAACATTAAGAAATTGTTATCCTCAAACTTCAGACTTTCAGAAGTAGTTATCTTTCAGACTTTCAGAAGTAGTTATCCTCCAACTGCAGCCATTCAGAAATAGTTATCCTCCAGACTTTCAGAAGTAGTTATCCTCCAACTTCAGACTTTCAGAAGTAGTTATCCTCCAACTTCAGACTTTCAGAAGTAGTTATCTTCCAGACTTTCAGAAATAGTTATCCTCCAACTTCAGACTTTCAGAAATAGTTATCCTCCAGACTTTCAGAAGTAGTTATCCTCCAACTTCAGACTATCAGAAATAGTTATCCACCAGACTTTCAGAAGTAGTTATCCTCCAACTTCAGACTTTCAGAAATAGTTATCCTTCAACTTCAGACATTCAAAAATAGTTATCCTCCAACTTCAGACTTTCAGAAATAGTTATCCTCCAACTTCAGACTATCAGAAATAGTTATCCTCCAGACTTTCAGAAGTAGTTATCCTCCAACTTCAGACTTTTAGAAATAGTTATCCTCCAGACTTTCAGAAGTAGTTATCCTCCAACTTCAGACTTTCAGAAATAGTTATCCTTCAACTTCAGACATTCAAAATTAGTTATCCTCCAACTGCAGACATTCAGAAATAGTTATCCTCCAGACTTTCAGAAATAGTTATCCTCCAACTTCAGACATTCAAGAATAGTTATCCTCCAGACTTTCAGAAGTAGTTATCCTCCAACTTCGGACTTTCATAAATAGTTTTCCTCTAAACTTTCAGAAGTAGTTATCCTCCAACTGCAGACATTAAGAAATAGTTATCCTCCAACTTCAGACATTCAGAAACAGTTATCCTCCAGACTTTCAGAAGTAGTTATCCTCCAACTGCAGACATTCAGAAATAGTTATCCTCCAGACTTTCAGAAGTAGTTATCCTCTAACTGCAGACATTCAGAAATAGTTATCCTCCAACTGCAGACATTCAGAAACAGTTATCCTCCAAACTTTCAGAAATAGTTATCCTCTAACTGCAGACATTCAGAAATAGTTATCCTCCAGACTTTCAGAAGTAGTTATCCTCCAACTGCAGACATTCAGAAACAGTTATCCTCCAAACTTTCAGAAGTAGTTATCCTCCAACTTCAGACTTTCATAAATAGTTATCCTCCAAACTTTCAGAAGTAGTTATCCTCCAACTGCAGACATTCAGAAATAGTTATCCTCCAGACTTTCAGAAGTAGTTATCCTCCAACTGCAGACATTCAGAAATAGTTATCCTCCAGACTTTCAGAAGTAGTTATCCTCCAACTTCAAACTTTCAGAAATAGTAATCCTTGAACTGCAGACATTCAGAAATAGTTGTCATTCAACTGCAGACATCTGTCACTGCAACATTTCTAACAGGCTGTCTAAAAATGATGGGAGGTTTCACTAAAATAGACTGGAGTTCTGTTTGCTAGTTTTATTATTCTTAGCTTTGCCTTTTCCCATATTTTTTTTTAAAGACCTTTTTGTTATGACCTCTCAAGTAAGTTTAATTTATTTTCCATCTGATTGTTGTGAGTGAGACAGGAGACAAATGTCATCAGATCATGCCGTTCTGTTGGGGGTCTACTGTTGCCATCTTTATCATCCAGTCTGTGGTCAGCAGAAATAGCAGACATGACAAAAGGAACCCTTAATGCACAATTGTCCCTGTTAGTTTCCCTCACAGAAAACTCAACATTTCATGTCTTCATTTGTTGCCCTAGTCTCATAAATTTCCACAGGGAGATGAGATTCCCTCCACTTCATAGTCACAAATCATAAAGTGGCGAGTTCAATTCAATATTTTGCTTTATTATTATGTGTAATGTGGATAACTGTGCACCCCTGGATTTGTTGGCAGGGATCGAATGAACAAAAATTATTTTCAAAGGATTACAAATTGGGCACCAAGGCCGGTCTTACATTTGGCCCTTTCAAACACCCATCTTTCACACAGCAGTTGTATTTTATCAGTCAAGCATGTTATGTTCATAAAATAGTTTGCAAATTATCAATACCAAGAAAAAAAAACAGAAAATCATGGGTGGTAAAATGCATGGGTACACTTGCATGTAGGCACACATACAAACACACCTACACATGCCAACCTATTCGTTCACTCACTTACACATCCACACTCACATATTCCACACACACATATTCCACACCCCAATCCACAACCCCATACATATATACACACATACATACACATCCGTGCTTACAGACACTCACAGGGACAATCACAGACCAGTACACACAGACTGACATACCCACACAGACACACACACACACATATGCAGACACACCCACAGACAGACACAGACACAAACGTACATATAGCATAGGTGCATACAGATACACATGTATACATAGACTTACCCACACAGACAGACAGACACAAATGCACACACAGACACACATACATTAGGCATGTATGCATACAGATACACACATATATATATATATACAGAAATTCACAGACACACACACACACATACAAAGACACAAACACATGCACATACGCCCATATTTACATACAATCATACATGCATACAGACACACACCTGTGCGCACAAAGGCGCACACATACACACACATAAATATTCATACACAGATACACAGTCACACATGCAGACATGCACACACAGACACATACACACCGACACACACATACAAACATACATAAATGTACACATGCATACTTGAACTATCTGTTCATGATCTATCTGTTGAGGCAGTGACTGAGCACTCATGGACTTGTCAGCAGGAACCTATCTGTTCAGCCTGCGACTGAGCACTCATGGACTTGTACACAGGGATCTATCAGTTCAGCGTGCGACTGAGCACCCATGGACTTGTACGTAGGGATCTATCTGTTCAGCCTGTGACTGAGCACTCATTGACTTGTACGCAGGGATCTATCTGTTCAGCCTGCGACTGAGCACTCATTGACTTGTACGCAGGGATCTATCTGTTCAGCCTGCGACTGAGCACTCATTGACTTGTACACAGGGATCTATCAGTTCAGCCTGCGACTGAGCACCCATGGACTTGTACGTAGGGATCTATCTTTTCAGGCCGCTACTGAGCACCCATTGATTTGTACGCAGGGATCTATCAGTACAGGCCGCTACTTAGCACGCATGGACTTGTACGCAGGGATCTATCTGTTCAGCCTGTGACTGAGCACTCATTGACTTGTACACAGGGATCTATCTGTACAGGCAGCCACTGAGCTCCCATGGACTTGTCCTCAGAAATCTATCTGTTCAGGCAGCCACTGAGCTCCCATGGACTTGTCCTCAGAAATCTGTCTGTTCAGGCAGCCACTGAGCTCCCATGGACCTGTCCTCAGAAATCTATCTGTTCAGGCAGCCACTGAGCTCCCATGGACTTGTCCTCAGAAATCTATCTGTTCAGGCAGCCACTGAGCTCCCATGGACTTGTCCTCAGAAATCTATCTGTTCAGGCAGCCACTGAGCTCCCATGGACTTGTCCTCAGAAATCTGTCTGTTCAGGCAGCCACTGAGCTCCCATGGACTTGTCCACAGTGCAGACAAGACAGCCAACCAAACATGAAAAATACTAAAATTAAAATATACAAAATGGTTTACCTGGCATGTGGACGGAGTATCGGGAAGAGCACTTCGCAAACCGCCAGAGTATCAAAAAAGTTTGTTTTCACTGTAACTTCAGCTTGCTCAGAAAATGGAGCTGGAGAATCATTCTGTGTGAGGAGAAGTGTCATTTCTGTTTTAACAGACCAGCCGCCTGTCACTGGGTATAAAGAGAAGTGTCATTTCTGTTTAAAATACTAGTTACCTTCACTAAGTGTATACAGAGATGTCATTTGTTTAATATACCAGCTGCCTATCAATGGGTGTTTAAAGAAGTGTCATTTCTGTTTATTGTACCAGCTGCCTGTCATTGGGTGTATAGAGAAGTTTTATTTGTTTAATATACCAGCTGCCTGTCCATGGGTGAATAAAGAATTGTCATTTCTGTTTATACCAGCTGCCTGTCATTGGGTTTATAGAGAAGTATCATTTCTGGAAAATATAACAGCCACATGTCATATGTGTGCACAGAAAAGTGTCATTTCTGTGAAACATACCAGCCAACTGTCACTGTGTGTACACAGAAGTGTTATTTCTGCTGAATATATCAGCTACCTGTCATAAGTGTGCACTGAGAAGTGCTATCTCTGTGAAAACTACCAGCCACCTGTGTGTACAGAAAAGTGTCATTTCGGTTAAATATACCAGCCACCTGTACCACTCTATCACACTCTTCAGGACAGCTGTTGGCATCATCACATAGGAAAGGCTGGGACAGTGTTGATCAACCATACCATAAAACAGGACAGGCTGAGACAGTGTTGATCAACAGCATCATCAGACAACAGACAAGACAGAATGAGACAGTGTTGATCAACAGCATCATCAGACAACAGACAAGACAGAATGAGACAGTGTTGATCAACAGCATCAGCAGATAAAGGCTCATCAGACAACAACATCATCGGACAACAGCATTAGCAGATAACACCATCAGACAACAACATTATCAGATAACAACATTATCCGACAACGGCATCATCAGACATTGGCATCATCAGACAATGGCAATATCAGACAACGGCATCATCAGACAATGGCATCATCAGACAAGGGCATCATCAGACAAGGGCATCATCAGACAAGGGCATCATCAGACAAGGGCATCATCAGACAATGGCATCATCAGACAATGGCATCATCAGACAAGGGCATCATCAGATAAGGGCATCATCAGACAATGGCATCATCAGATAAGGGCATCATCAGACAATGGCATAATCAGACAAGGGCATCATCAGACAACAGAATTATCAGACAATGGCATCATTAGACAATGGCATCATCAGACAACGACATTATCGAACAAGAGCGCCATTAGACAACAGTGTCATCAGACAATGGCATCATCAGAAAATGGCATTATCAGACAACAGCATCATCAGACAACAGCTTCATCAGACAACAGCATCAAGCAGACCTACCTTAAATGCCATTAGATACTCCAGGTGACACTGTGACAGGCAGGTGAAGCAGACCTACCTTATATGCCACTAGATACTAAAGGAAGTTGACCTACCTTTTATGCCACTAGATACTCCAGGAAGCAGACCTACCTTTTATGCCACTAGATACTCCAGGAAGCAGACCTACCTTATATGCCTCTAGTTACTCCAGGAAGCAGACCTACCTTATATGCCACTAGATACTCCAGGAAGCAGACCTACCTTTTATGCCACTAGATACTCCAGGAAGCAGACCTACCTTATATGCCTCTAGATACTCCAGTAATCCGTAATAAATGAAAAAAAAAAAATGTGGACAGCTTCAACCTGCCACTGGGGCTTGGTTTTAATTGTGTCCTTGTTCCTGAGCTGTGTTTAGTTTGATACTTTTGGCGTAGTTGATTCAAGCTTATTTGTTCAATTACCTTCGTCCGATCGGTGCCTTTTGGTTTATGTGCTATCTTCCATGTCTTAGCTGGTTTGCAAGCGGGTGATCACTGATTGTGCCTGGGCCGCAACCTTTCACACCACCTCGAAATCGATAAGTCTGCGACACAAGTCCAAACAAAAGACCCCTTTCAGTGACCCCAGTTTAACTTCTTTTTGGTGCTTTTATCTTTTCGCATCATGCATGTGCCTGTGCGTTAGCCTTTTTTTTTTTTTTTTTTTTTGGCCGAGCATTTCTGTTTTGGCCTTTTTTTTCTTTCCCAAAATGGTGTGTGTTCAGTGTAGTGTTTGCGTGCTTTGTGGGTATTTGTGTACGTGTCTTTTGACAAGTGTTGCCGTTTGTTTGTATTGTGTGTGTTTAGATACTCCAGGAAGCAATTCTATCTTTTATGCCACTAGATACTCCAGGAAGCAATTCTATCTTTAATGCCACCAGATACTCCAGGAAGCAGACCTACCTTATATGCCACTAGATACTCCAGGAAGCAGACCTACCTTATATGCCACTAGATACTCCAGGAAGCAGACCTACCTTATATGCCACTAGATACTCCAGGAAGCAGACCTACCTTATATGCCACTAGATACTCCAGGAAGCAGACCTACCTTATATGCCACTAGATACTCCAGGATGCAGACCTACCTTTTATGCCACTAGACACTCCAGGATGCAGACCTACCTTATATGCCACTAGATACTCCAGGAAGCAGACCTACCTTTTATGCCACTAGATACTCCAGGAAGCAGACCTACCTTATATGCCACTAGATACTCCAGGAAGCAGACCTACCTTATATGCCACTAGATACTCCAGGAAGCAGACCTACCTTATATGCCACTAGATACTCCAGGAAGCAGACCTACCTTATATGCCACTAGATACTCCAGGAAGCAAACCTACCTTATATGCCACTAGATACTCCAGGATGCAGACCTACCTTTTATGCCACTAGACACTCCAGGATGCAGACCTACCTTATATGCCACTAGATACTCCAGGAAGCAGACCTACCGTTTATGCCACTAGATACTCCAGGAAGCAGACCTACCTTATATGCCACTAGATACTCCAGGAAGCAGACCTACCTTATATGCCACTAGATACTCCAGGAAGCAGACCTACCTTATATGCCACTAGATACTCCAGGAAGCAGACCTACCTTATATGCCACTAGATACTCCAGGAAGCAAACCTACCTTATATGCCACTAGATACTCCAGGATGCAGACCTACCTTTTATGCCACTAGACACTCCAGGATGCAGACCTACCTTATATGCCACTAGATACTCCAGGAAGCAGACCTACCTTTTATGCCACCAGATACTCCAGGAAGCAGACCTACCTTATATGCCACTAGACACTCCAGGATGCAGACCTACCTTATATGCCACTAGATACTCCAGGAAGCAGACCTACCTTATATGCCACTAGAAACTCCAGGATGCAGACCTACCTTATATGCCACTAGATACTCCAGGAAGCAGACCTACCTTTTATGCCACTAGATACTCCAGGAAGCAGACCTACCTTTTATGCCACTAGATACTCCAGGAAGCAGACCTACCTTATATGCCACTAGATACTCCAGGATGCAGACCTACCTTATATGCCACTAGATACTCCAGGAAGCAGACCTACCTTATATGCCACTAGATACTCCAGGATGCAGACCTACCTTATATGCCACTAGATACTCCAGGAAGCAGACCTACCTTTTATGCCACTAGATACTCTAGGAAGCAGACCTACCTTATATGCCACTAGATACTCCAGGATGCAGACCTACCTTATATGCCACTAGATACCCCAGGAAGCAGACCTACCTTATATGCCACTAGATACTCCAGGAAGCAGACCTACCTTTTATGCCACTAGATACTCCAGGAAGCAGACCTACCTTATATGCCACTAGATACTCCAGGAAGCAGACCTGCCTTATATGCCACTTGATAATCCAGGAAGCAGACCTACCTTATATGCCACTAGATACTCCAGGAAGCAGACCTACCTTATATGCCACTAGATACTCCAGGAAGCAGACCTACCTTATATGCCACTAGATACTCCAGGAAGCAGACCTACCTTTTATGCCACTAGATACTCCAGGAAGCAGACCTACCTTATATGCCACTAGATACTCCAGGAAGCAGACCTGCCTTATATGCCACTTGATAATCCAGGAAGCAGACCTACCTTATATGCCACTAGATACTCCAGGAAACAGACCTACCTTTTATGCCACTAGATACTCCAGGAAGCAGAAATACCTTATATGCCACTAGATACTCCAGGATGCAGTTCTGCCTTATATACCACTAGATACTCAGGGAAGCAGACCTGCCTTATATACCACTAGATTCTCCAGGAAGCAGACCTGCCTTAAATACCACTTGATACTCCAGGAAGCAGACCTGCCTTATATGTCACTAGACACTCCAGGAAGCAGAAATACCTTATATGCCACTAGATACTCCAGGATGCAGTTCTGTCTTATATACCACTAGATACTCAAGTAAGCAGACATGCCTTATATACCACTAGATTCTCCAGGAAGCAGACCTGCCTTAAATACCACTTGATACTCCAGGAAGCAGACCTGCCTTATATGTCACTAGACACTCCAGGAAGCAGAAATACCTTATATGCCACTAGATACTCCAGGATGCAGACCTACCTTATATGCCACTAGATACTCCAGGAAGCAGACCTACCTTATATGCCACTAGATACTCCAGGAAGCAGACCTACCTTATATGCCACTAGATACTTCAGGTAGCAGACCTACCTTATATGCCACTAGATACTCCAGGAAGCAGACCTACCTTATATGCCACTAGATACTCCAGGAAACAGACCTACCTTTTATGCCACTAGATACTCCAGGATGCAGACCTACCTTATATGCCACTAGATACTCCAGGAAGCAGACCTACCTTATATGCCACTAGATACTTCAGTTAGCAGACCTACCTTATATGCCACTAGATACTCCAGAAAGCAGACCTATCTTATATGCCACTAGATACTCCAGGAAGCAGACCTACCTTATATGTCACTAGATACTCCAGAAAGCAGACCTATCTTATTTGCCACTAGATACTCCAGGTAGCAGACCTACCTTTTATGCCACTAGATACTCCAGGAAGCAGACCTACCTTTTATGCCACTAGATACTCCAGGTAGCAGACCTACCTTTTATGCCACTAGACACTCCAGGATGCAGACCTACCTTATATGCGATGCCTGCATTGTTGACCAACACGTCCAGGCCCTGGTACTGTTTCTGCAGGAAATCTCGCAACCGGACTATACTGTCATGGCTATTGAGGTCAAGTTGGTGGTACCTGGGCTGTAATCCTTCCTTCTCCAACTCTTGGACAGCTATTTGACCTCGACCTTCATCACGAGCTATAAATATAAAACCTTTGTTTCATAAGACATCTGCTTAGCCATGTTGCTGTATTTATGAAACCTCTCAATACTGTAACATTCTTTTCTTTCCTGAGTGTTGTGTGTACATCTATTTTACATATCTGACTTATTTACATGCAGGCTGCTGGTTCCTTGGCTCTCAGACAATGAGATCCGACGGAATAAAGAAATAAGTATTCTTAAAACCGTCATCATCCTTAATCAGTCGATCCTTTACAGAAAGACTTTTTTTTTTAGTAGCGCACACCTAATAGTCTGCCTTTCTCTTTCATACATGATGTATCTTCAACGTCTTGTATCCACTTTCATGGATGATGTATCTTCAATGTCTTGTATCCACTTTCATACATGATGTATCTTTAACGTCTTGTATCCACTTTCATGGATGATGTATCTTCAACGTCTTGTATCCACTTTCATACATGATGTATCTTCAATGTCTTGTATCCACTTTCATACATGATGTATCTTCAATGTCTTGTATCCACTTTCATACATGATGTATCTTCAATGTCTTGTATTCACTTTCATGGATGATGTATCTTCAATGTCTTGTATCCACTTTCATACATGATGTATCTTCAATGTCTTGTATCCACTTTCATACATGATGTATCTTCAATGTCTTGTATCCACTTTCAAACATGATGTATCTTCAATGTCTTGTATTCACTTTCATGGATGATGTATTTTGAATGTCTTGTATCCACTTTCATGTATGATGTATCTTCAATGTCTTGTATCCACTTTCATGAATGATGTATCTTCAATGTCTTGTATCCACTTTCATACATGATGTATCTTCAATGTCTTGTATCCACTTTCATGGATGATGTATCTTCAATGTCTTGTATCCACTTTCATACATGATGTATCTTCAATGTCTTGTATCCACTTTCATGGATGATGTATCTTCAATGTCTTGTATCCACTTTCATGGATGATGTATCTTCAATGTCTTGTATCCACTTTCATACATGATGTATCTTCAATGTCTTGTATCCACTTTCATGGATGATGTATCTTCAATGTCTTGTATCCACTTTCATACATGATGTATATTCAATGTCTTGTAACCACTTTCATACATGATGTATCTTCAATGTCTTGTATCCACTTTCATACATGATGTATCTTCAATGTCTTGTATCCACTTTCATACATGATGTATTTTCAATGTCTTGTATCCACTTTCATACATGATGTATCTTCAATGTCTTGTAACCACTTTCATGGATGATGTATCTTCAATGTCTTGTATCCACTTTCATGGATGATGTATCTTCAATGTCTTGTATTCACTTTCATGGATGATGTATTTTCAATGTCTTGTATCCACTTTCATGTATGATGTATCTTCAATGTCTTGTATCCACATTCATGGATGATATATCTTCAATGTCTTGTATCCACTTTCATACATGATGTATCTTCAATGTCTTGTATCCACTTTCATGGATGATGTATCTTCAATGTCTTGTATCCACTTTCATGGATGATGTATCTTCAATGTCTTGTATTCACTTTCATGGATGATGTATTTTCAATGTCTTGTATCCACTTTCATGGATGATGTATTTTGAATGTCTTGTATCCACTTTCATGTATGATGTATCTTCAATGTCTTGTATCCACTTTCATGAATGATGTATCTTCAATGTCTTGTATCCACTTTCATACATGATGTATCTTCAATGTCTTGTATCCACTTTCATGGATGATGTATCTTCAATGTCTTGTATCCACTTTCATACATGATGTATCTTCAATGTCTTGTATCCACTTTCATGGATGATGTATCTTCAATGTCTTGTATCCACTTTCATGGATGATGTATCTTCAATGTCTTGTATCCACTTTCATACATGATGTATCTTCAATGTCTTGTATCCACTTTCATGGATGATGTATCTTCAATGTCTTGTATCCACTTTCATACATGATGTATATTCAATGTCTTGTAACCACTTTCATACATGATGTATCTTCAATGTCTTGTATCCACTTTCATACATGATGTATCTTCAATGTCTTGTATCCACTTTCATACATGATGTATCTTCAATGTCTTGTAACCACTTTCATGGATGATGTATCTTCAATGTCTTGTATCCACTTTCATGGATGATGTATCTTCAATGTCTTGTATTCACTTTCATGGATGATGTATTTTCAATGTCTTGTATCCACTTTCATGTATGATGTATCTTCAATGTCTTGTATCCACATTCATGGATGATATATCTTCAATGTCTTGTATCCACTTTCATACATGATGTATCTTCAATGTCTTGTATCCACTTTCATGGATGATGTATCTTCAATGTATTGTATCCACTTTCATGGATGATGTATCTTCAATGTCTTGTATTCACTTTCATGGATGATGTATTTTCAATGTCTTGTATCCACTTTCATACATGATGTATCTTCAATGTCTTGTATCCACTTTCATGGATGATGTATCTTCAATGTCTTGTATCCACTTTCATACATGATGTATCTTCAATGTCTTGTATCCACTTTCATACATGATGTATCTTCAATGTCTTGTATCCACTTTCTGTCTCATTGTTTAGAAACTGCACCCTCCATTAACTCTCTCTGTTGTACTGTTGTATTAAAACCTCTCTGTTGTACTGTTGTATTAAAACCTCTCTGTTGTACTGTTGTATTAAAACCTCTCTGTTGTACTGTTGTATTAAAACCTCTCTGTTGTACTGTTGTATTAAAACCTCTCTGTTGTACTGTTGTATTAAAACCTCTCTGTTGTACTGTTGTATTAAAACCTCTCTTTTGTACTGTTGTATTAAAACCTCTCTGTTGTACTGTTGTATTAAAACCTCTCTGTTGTACTGTTGTATTAAAACCTCTCTGTTGTACTGTTGTATTAAAACCTCTCTGTTGTACTGTTGTATTAAAACCGCTCTGTTGTACTTTTGTATTAAATATTAAAACTGCTCTGTTGTACTGTTGTATTAAAACCTTTCTGTTGTACTGTTGTATTAAAACCTCTCTGTTGTACTGTTGTATTAAAACCTCTCTGTTGTACTGTTGTATTAAAACCTCTCTGTTGTACTGTTGTATTAAAACCTCTCTTTTGTACTGTTGTATTAAAACCTCTCTGTTGTACTGTTGTATTAAAACCTCTCTGTTGTACTGTTGTATTAAAACCTCTCTGTTGTACTGTTGTATTAGAATCTCTCTGTTGTACTGTTGTATTAAAACCTCTCTGTTGTACTGTTGTATTAAAACCTCTGTTGTATTAAAACCTCTCTGTTGTACTGTTGTATTAAAACCTCTCTGTTGTTTAAAACCTCTCTGTTGTACTGCTGTATTAAAACCTCTCTGTTGTATTAAAACCTCTCTCCTTCACTTTTGTATTAAAACCTCTCTCCTTCACTGTTGTATTAAAACCTCTCTCCTTCACTGTTGTATTAAAACCTCTCTCCTTTACTGTTGTATTAAAACCTCTCTCCTTCACTGTTGTATTAAAACCTCTCTCCTTCACTGTTGTATTAAAACCTCTCTCCTTCACTGTTGTATTAAAACCTCTCTCCTTCACTGTTGTATTAAAACCTCTCTGTTGTACTGTTGTATTAAAACCTCTCTCCTTCACTGTTGTATTAAAACCTCTCTGTTGTACTGTTGTATTAAAACCTCTCTGTTGTACTGTTGTATTAAAACCTCTCTGTTGTACTGTTGTATTAAAACCTCTCTCCTTCACTGTTGTATTAAAACCTCTCTGCTGTATTAAAACCTCTCTCCTTCACTGTTGTTTTAAAACCTCTTTGATGTACTGCTGTTTTAAAAACCTCTCTGCTGCACTGTTGTATTAAAACCTCTCTCCTGTAATGTTGTTTTAAAACCTCTCGCTATACTGTTATATTAAAATGACTCAGCCGTATTGTTGTGTTAAAACGACTCAGCTGTATTGTTGCATTAAAACCACTCAGCTGTATTGTTGTATTAAAACCACTCAGCTGTATTGTTGTATTAAAACCACTCAGCTGTATTGTTGTATTAAAACCACTCAGCTGTATTGTTGTATGAAAACCACCCAGCTGTATTGTTGTATTAAAAACACCCAGCTGTATTGTTGTATTAAAACCACCCAGCTGTATTGTTGTATTAAAACCACCCAGCTGTATTGTTGTATGAAAACCACCCAGCTGTATTGTTGTATTAAAACCACCCAGCTGTATTGTTGTATTAAAACCACCCAGCTGTATTGTTGTATTAAAACCACCCAGCTGTATTGTTGTATTAAAACCACCCAGCTGTATTGTTGTATTAAAACCACCCAGCTGTATTGTTGTATTAAAACCACCCAGCTGTATTGTTGATACTGATGTGAAGTTGACACCATCTTTGACATAATGTTCTTCTTCAAGATCAATGGCTGAAAACTCACTGACAGAAAGTTCTGGTTGTTCATCCATTTGTGGATTTCAGTTATGTTCCAAAAGTTGAGTTTGCGTGTACATCCATCTACTCTACATATCTGACTTAACTGTGTACAGACTGTTGCTTCCTCACCTCTCGATAAGATGTACTCCAGCTTCGCTGACTTAACTGTGTACAGACTGTTGCTTCCTCACCTCTCGATAAGATGTACTCCAGCTTCGCTGACTTAACTGTGTACAGAATGTTGCTTCCTCACCTCTGGATAAGATGTACTCCAGCTTCGAAAGAAATACCCCTAATTAGTTCACTTTTACAACAAGCCTGTGAAGGTGGCTGTGGGTTATTCTTCCCCTACCCTTCCCTCCACACACACTGCGGCTTGAGAACCCCCTCAGGGATCACATAATGTTGCTGTAAACACAATCTCTCACATAATGTTGCTGTAAACACAATCTCTCACATACTGCTAATGTAAACACAATCTCTCACATACTGCTAATGTAAACACAATCTCTCACATAATGTTGCTGTAAACACAATCTCTCACATACTGCTAATGTAAACACAATCTCTCACATAATGTTGCTGTAAACACAATCTCTCACATAATGCTAATGTAAACACAATCTCTCACATAATGCTAATGTAAACACAATCTCTCACATCATGCTAATGTAAACACAATCTCTCACATCATGCTGATGTAAACACAATCTCTCACATCATGCTGATGTAAACAATCTCTCACATGGTACTGATGTCAAGTAAACCTGTTCTCTTACATGTGAGGTAGACATCTCCATTAAACCGTTTACACAGTGCCCGGACGATGCCAAACCCCACTCCTTTGTTAGCACCAGTCACCTGTGAGAGCAAGCAACCTTGGTTAAATCAACAACTGTGTCCCCTACAGATAACATAAGACATGATAAGCAAAGTTAGCTTAAAACAACTGTGTCCCCTACAGATAACATAAGACATGATAATCAAAGTTAGTTTAAAACAACTGTGTCCCCTACAGATAACATAAGACATGATAATCAAAGTTAGCTTAAAACAACTGTGTCCCCTAGAGATAACATAAGACATGATAATCAAAGTTAGCTTAAAACAACTGTGTCTTCCAGAGATAACATAAGACATGATAATCAAAGTTAGCTTAAAACAACTGTGTCTCCTACAGATAACATAAGACATGATAATCAAAGTTAGCTTAAAACAACTGTGTCTCCCAGAGATAACATAAGACATGATAATCAAAGTTAGCTTAAAACAACTGTGTCTCCCAGAGATAACATAAGACATGATAATCAAAGTTAAGTTAAAACAATTGTGTCTCCCAGAGATAACATAAGACATGATAATCAAAGTTAGCTTAAAACAACTGTGTCTCCTACAGATAACATAAGACATGATAATCAAAGTTAGCTTAAAACAACTGTGTCTCCCAGAGATAACATAAGACATGATAACCAGAGTTAGCTAAGAACAACTGTGTCTCCTACAGTTAACATAAGACATGATAATCAAAATTAGCTTAAAACAACTGTCTCCTACAGTTAACATAAGACATGATAATCAAAGTTAGCCTAAAACAACTGTTTCCCAGAGATAAACGAACAAAGCTTTTATGTTTTAAAAATAGTTAGTGTGCAATAGGTGACAAGGAGACAGCAAAAGTTCAAAGTCAGAAAGGTGGAGTTAGTTGAGTATGTATTGTGGGTAAGAGTGGTCTGAAGTGAAGACCACTCCGAGAAAACAGTGACACAGGAACTAAATCAGACTGGTAAGATGTCGCATGGCAGAACTAAGTAAGCTTTGTGGCACATGCCAGATAATGCAAGAAACATTCCTTGACGATTTGTTATGACTGTACTGGGTCGGCTTATTAGTAGGTGGTCCCAGACTGTAACTGGCAGTATGGCTAATTGGAAGTAGTATGGTGCTAAACTGTAGTCAGTATTTGGTTTATAATTAGTAGGTGGTAACTAGATTGTAATTAGCAGTATGACTAATGGGTAGTAGCATGCTGCTAAATTGTAGTCAGCTTCTGGCTATTTAGTAGATGGATTCAGATAGTAGTTGTTATGTTGATAGGTACTATGCTGGTATAGGTGTCTATATAGTAGTTGTTATGCTGATAGGTACTATGCTGGTATAGGTGTCTATATAGTAGTTGTTATGTTGATAGGTACTATGCTGGTATAGGTGTCTATATAGTAGTTGTTATGCTGATAGGTACTATGCTGGTATAGGTGTCTATATAGTAGTTGTTATGTTGATAGGTACTATGCTGGTATAGGTGTCTATATAGTAGTTGTTATGCTGATAGGTACTATGCTGGTATAGGTGTCTATATAGTAGTTGTTATGCTGATAGGTACTATGCTGGTATAGGTGTCTATATAGTAGTTGTTATGTTGATAGGTACTATGCTGGTATAGGTGTCTATATAGTAGTTGTTATGTTGATAGGTACTATGCTGGTATAGGTGTCTATATAGTAGTTGTTATGTTGATAGGTACTATGCTGGTATAGGTGTCTATATAGTAGTTGTTATGCTGATAGGTACTAGCTGGTATAGGTGTCTATATAGTAGTTGTTATGTTGATAGGTACTATGCTGGTATAGGTGTCTATATAGTAGTTGTTATGTTGATAGGTACTATGCTGGTATAGGTGTCTATATAGTAGTTGTTATGTTGATAGGTACTATGCTGGTATAGGTGTCTATATAGTAGTTGTTATGTTGATAGGTACTATGCTGGTATAGGTGTCTATATAGTAGTTGTTATGTTGATAGGTACTATGCTGGTATAGGTGTCTATATAGTAGTTGTTATGTTGATAGGTACTATGCTGGTATAGGTGTCTATATAGTAGTTGTTATGCTGATAGGTACTAGCTGGTATAGGTGTCTATATAGTAGTTGTTATGCTGATAGGTACTATGCTGGTATAGGTGTCTATATAGTAGTTGTTATGCTGATAGGTACTATGCTGGTATAGGTGTCTATATAGTAGTTGTTATGCTGATAGGTACTATGCTGGTATTGGTGTCTATATAGTAGTTGTTATGTTGATAGGTACTATGCTGGTATAGGTGTCTATATAGTAGTTGTTATGCTGATAGGTACTATGCTGGTATAGGTGTCTATATAGTAGTTGTTATGCTGATAGGTACTATGCTGGTATAGGTGTCTAAGTACTGATTAACAGCAATGAAGGATATTCTAAGAGTTACTTGCTAATTTATCGTTGAGAAGATTCTGCTATAAGTTGTAGTGAATGAGACTGTTGTACTATCTGTGGGTTTATAGAGTGAACAGTGATTGGGTTCACCCTGATTATAACTTGGTATAAAATATTGTGTATTTTGTTGTGTTTTGACATGATCTCGTTTACTTAATAGGAGATATACAACATTGCATTTCTGTTCTATAAAAAAACATGATTTTTAGTTGTTATTCTTTTACTCCTTCGTTCCTTTGATGAGTATAGGAGTGGTACCGTTATTTAGTTATCTTAATTCTTTTACTACTTCACTTTTATACCACCACTAACTATTACACTACCGGCTGGGGTATAGACTTAATACTATACTCCCCAGATAGGATAACCTTTTATCTTCTCACACATGTTTTAACTATTATTCTTCTCATCAGTCTCTCTCTACTTTAATCCCCTCTTCTCTTTACTATCCCTTTAAAATGTACCGGTTACATTTTAGTTAACATTACATATGATAATCACAGTTAACTCAACAACTGTGCCCCCTATAGTTAACATCAGATATGATAATCAAAATTAACTCCATAACTGTTTCCCTTAAAGTTAACATTAGACATGATAATCACAGTTAACAATTGTGTCCCCTATAGTTAACATTAGACATGATAATCACAGTTAACTCAACAACTGTGTCTAGTACTCCCTTACCCGACTCCCATGCAGTAATTTATTTTAGACCCCCCCCCCCCCCCACTTTTTTTTTCTCCCTCAATATCACTATTCTTTCACAGACTACCAGCAAGATGTTATGTTATCACTATTGACGTCACTGCCCACTGGGCACTCCCATGTGTGGTCAGTCCTAGGATGCAACAACCACTGCAAGACACCTCTGCCGACTGTTTCCATGAGGAGTTGGTTATAATGTCTCCTATCTCGGCCTCAAAACCAGCATAGACAGGTTTCATCCTCCTCACCCCCCGGTCACGCAGTCATGTTAGTATTAAAGATCCATCATTATCCACTAACTTAATCCGTACAGTGCTGATGATATCTGCTCTGACCATGCTTCATCCTACATGTGTTAGTGCATTGCTTGCCAGTTAGTCCATTCGTTCATTACCTTTAATGATGGCATGCACAGGTGTGTAGATCCAGGTACGGGAGGTTCAGTCAGATTTTTGAATGCTTTCTACTCATTCAGAACAAATACTGTGTCGATTTTCTGAAGCAAGTTCATGAAGTCTGAAATAATTCCCACATATCTGGCCGCTTGTTCTGCTACCCATGTCAGTGCTCTGGAAGTAGCTGTTATCTCCACGTGAGTACTCTGGAAGTAGCTGTTATCTCCATGTGAGTGCTCTAGAAGTAGCTGTTATCTCCATGTGAGTGCTCTGGAAGTAGCTGTTATCTCCATGTGAGTGCTCTGGAAGTAGCTGTTATCTCCATGGTCTTGCCTGACAAAGCTGTTATCTCCATGGTCTTGCCTGACAAAGCTGTTATCTCCATGGTCTTGCCTGACAAAGCTGTTATCTCCATGGTCTTGCCTGACAAAGCTGTTATCTCCATGGTCTTGCCTGACAAAGCTGTTATCTCCATGGTCTTGCCTGACAAAGCTGTTATCTCCATGGTCTTGCCTGACAAAGCTGTTATCTCCATGGTCTTGCCTGACAAAGCTGTTATCTCCATGGTCTTGCCTGACAAAGCTGTCTAGTAAGCCCTGCTATCGTATTTTGTTTTACCCATTCTTTGTGCTGTGTATGTTCATACTGACCATGACCCACATTTCATGGACTCTGTAAATGACATCGAATTCTGTGAGCAAATGCTGATCAGTAATTGCCCTTGTCTATGGCCACATGAATCTGGTTCTGTAGAACCTCCCCAGTGTGAGGACTACAACCTTAGAAAGGCCATGCATGTCTACTGGTGTAGAACCTCCCCAGTGTGAGGACTACAACCTTAGAAAGGCTATGAATGTCTACTGGTGTAGAACCTCCCCAGTGTGAGGACTGCAACCTTAGAAAGGCCATGCATGTCTACTGGTGTAGAACCTCCCCAGTGTGAGGACTGCAATCTTAGAAAGGCCATGCATGTTGTCTACTGGTGTAGAACCTCCCCAGTGTGAGGACTGCAATCTTAGAAAGGCCATGCATGTCTACTGGTGTATCCACCATTTATTTTCTGTGACTGATCTTATTTAGGTCACATACCTGCTGGATTCAATCTTCAGCCTTGGCCATCAAGGAGCGGTCTTTGTTGAGGCACATTCCTTTTGTGTCATGTGTAGCTTTGTGCAGTGGGTGGTTAACGTCTGCCAATACCCTTGACCTGTGCGACTCAGTGTGTTAGCCATCGTCGGTAAACACAGGACATATGGCTTACAGACATGGCAGGATGTGATTTTTGTGCAGCTGAGTATGAGTCTCATGTCCTCTTCTGATTTGTCCAGTCTTTCTGGCTAGGTTCTGCTGACAGTGAGGAGGTCCAGCCAGTAGTCTACGATGCTTTAGATAAGCTCCTTATAGAGAATGAAAAGTAGTTGTTCAATATCAGCTGTTGCCATCACCTTGAGTGCTGGCTCTACATATGACACTATCTATGTGATATTTGTATGAGAAATATCCACTGAAAGTCATGCCCAGGTATTTCATTGTGTCTGTTCTCTCGATGTCCACACCACACATGATTATGACTGGTGTAGACATATTGACAATGTGAGTATTCAGATAGAACAATGTTGAAGATACCTTTGATGGGTTCCGGTGTGCACTTGATTCTTGGCACCACTCACCGAGTCTGTCTAGTTCATGTTGTAGTGTTGTAATTTCATGCCCGTGCCTTCCTTTATGGTACACAAGGATATTGTCGACCTATGATACTGTTCTGTCCAGGCCTACTCTCTGTGCACTGATCAGCCCCTCGCTGCATACATAATGAATAGAGCTGATGACAATGGCAGGTTTATCAAGATATATGGAAGTTTCGATGCTGATGCCCTCCATCGTTATGATACTGTTATTTCAAACAGATCTTATTGTCTCAATGTATATGTCCAAGAGAATGAATGAATGAAGGAACGAACAAACTTTATTTTAAAAGGGTCACAAATTGGGCACGCAGGCCCATTTTACATTCGGCCCTATCAAGCACCCATCTTTCACACATTGGTTGTATTTTATCAATAAAGCATGATTTGTTCATATAATAAAATGCAGGTTACGAATATCAAGAAAAAAAAAAAAACCAAGGGCAGTAAAATGAATGCACAAACTCAATTTTGTCTATGAGCTTTCCTATGATATTCTCGAGTGTGATCATATTTACTTCCATCCATTTTAAACTGTACTGAGGTATTTCAACTTCAGTAAACATACAGTTCTGCAATTACCCCCTCCCCCACACACACACATTATTATCCCTGTCACCTGCTGAATGTACTCTCAGTAACCTGAACAACTACTTTTACCCTGGGCAGCCACCAATCCCACAGACCCAGTTCAACCCTAGACAACATATCTGGGTTTACTGCTACAGCAAGTATTACCATGGAGTAGTCTGAAGCCCTGTGTGAGTGCAAAGGGAAGCATTTTCGGTATTATCATTAACTAACTTATATTGAACTTTTGTGAGGTTATAGTCCTGTGACCTAACTTGTAATACTTTCTTATTTGATTCTCTCCCGCTGACCATTAAAAAAAAATATTTCTTATCACCGGCAGTAACTATAGTTCGTTCAACAATTCATAAAAATACATGCAAGCCATTTTATCGAAAACTGCCTGTTATATCGCAATAATTTTGTTTTGCATGCAGCGTTAGAATATCATCAATCCGTTAGGTACTGCTACAATTGCAACAAATACATCTCCTTACCCAAATGTGTCAATCATAATACAATTTGCTGTGCAGTTAAGCTACACCATGGGGTCTATTGGTGGCCAAAGGGGAATATTAACTGTTGCATATTGGAGGCATGTTTACAAATGAACAAGGCAGACAGATTGGCTGGATCTGTATTAGTGGGTGGTGAATTAATACATGACAAGGTAGATGTGGTCAAGGTCCTTCGGTAACAAGTAACAAAGTCAGAAGAGAAAACAGTCATGGCATGGAGAGAATGATACACCTGGGTGTGAGCAGAGGGCCTAGCCGGCACACTATACTCAGAGGACAGGTAAGAAAAATAATCAGACTGCATCCAGTACCAATAGTATTGGAACTGCACTGGGTTCTGAAGATGGGGATGGAGCGCATATAGGAATGTACCAGTGCTGTAGTGATGTCTTTCTTGACACAGCTCAGTTGAACATAAATGACAACAAATGAATTTACTTCACCTATTAATGTATCATGAAGACAGGCCTCTAAAAAACAAAAAAAAGTTTACAGGAAAATGAGATGTTTTAAACATTGTTTACTGTAGAATTCCTTTACTTATTTACAGTGGTTCGAAAAGATCAATGGAAGTGGCTGATATTCAGCATCTATGGACTGAAGAATACCACTATTTTTGCGTCATGGATATTATAAGGTTGCATTTAAAAAAACTGCGATCTAACCGACAGTTTGGAGAAAATGGTTGCAAGTGTTTATCAATTGTTAAACGAACTATAGTAAAGTTGTACTGCAGCGAACCCTGGCCTGTAAATTAAAACACGCATTATCTCCGCTTGAAGTGTGCTGTTGCACGAGAAACAGATAGCATATCTTCAAGATCTCTCCAACTAGAAGTCATTTTTTTTAAAAGATAAGTGGTGAAGGCTGAGTGGTTTTAGCCTAACACTGTAACTAATTAACTGCTTCGTCATGGTCATGGTGTTGGCTGTTGCAGCCGGTTGTCGTCATTGTCCGCCACCGATGTTGTTACTTACAACTGCCACTCTCTTGGCCATTATTTAACAACTGGCTAGCGAATGAACAACACAACACTTGGAGGATGAGCACTATCAGCTGATCAGTGTATGTATGTGTATGGCAGAGGCGGTATCAATGCAGGTTGTATCAATGTCTCACAGGGCAACAAGTAGTCAATGTTTAGATCTGGTCCGGGTTGCCAGATAAAATAACTTCATTTTATGCCAAACCATTACCCAAAATATGCCAGAAAATGCTAAATAAAGTGTAACATTGTACTCGCTTCACATCAAAAGCTCTAGATTGATTCACTGTCATTTTGACTGGAACAAGTGGAAGACACAGCGTGAACCTTTTCGAATGTAAAATCTTTAAGCTTTTTCTCAGATGGGATGAAGTCTTTGCAACTCATCTATACTGATGGCACATTTCTTGTTCCGAAAATCATCAATAAGTTAATCCTTTAGGGCAGGCGATATAATATGTTTTATTAGGCAAGAACATTTAGTTCTATGCAACTGAATATGCTCTAATGTACTTCTCTGACCATGTGCTCCAATGATTTAACTCAGATGATCAATTGTGCGTATTGCACAATGGCAGGTCATGCTTACAGCAAGTTGCAACTCTGCTGCCTTTAACTTTATCATTGCTTTGCCTAGAAGTCATTCTTGTAATAAGCTGTGACTGGCTTTTTGACAGTTTTTATCCTGTGTTTTTCGGATTTTTCATGATTTGATATGCTACTAATTTTTGGTGAACAGTGCACTGACACACTTTACAATATGCTGCCTCTGATCCGTCTGAAAATCTTTTGAGCCGTGGGTATGATTTCTTCCAGTTACTATTATACTTGCAATGTAATAAAATGCTTTCCATTTTTTTTTTTTTTTTGGATGACGCGGCCATTGGTAAAAATAATAAAATCTATCACAGACATAACTAGGTCTAAATCCTCTCTTTTTTTCTATCCCTAAGTCTGGATTTTTTCACTGAGTCACGCCGGTGTGTTGGGAAATGAACAGGAGGACAGACTTGCTGGCTCTGCACAACTTGGTGGAATACTGCTACATGATAGGGCAGACGTGGTTAGTGCCTTGTGGGAGAGCGTGTACAATGCGGAGGAGCAGTTGGATCACCACAGTCTGGTGAGATTGATGCAGTTGGGGGTGACGAGAGGTTCTAGCAGAAGCTCAAGGCTCAGAGGAAAGACAAGACGGACGTTTTATCAGAAAGCTACTGGCACCATTAGTATCGGAACTCTTCGCTGGCTGTTGAAGATGGAGACGTAGTGCTTATGGGAATGACCCGAGTGCTGTGATGTCGGTTCTTGAATCAAATCAAATCAATTCTGTCCTCAAGTAGTTTCTGAACAGTCTGAATCACTTAGCATCAGTGGTGGGTGGGTTTTATATCCCGCATTTATTCTAGTAGATTAACATAAATTACAGAGCGCCTTGGTTTATCGAAGTCACCAACCGTTTAGGAGACAATAAATACAATAAGAAATGGTGCGAATCTCCGTTAGTCATTACCAGGACATCACAACAAAGTCAAACTGAAATAAAGATAACTGTAGGTCTTCATTGCTTTTAGTAAATCTGCGTGTTTCTAGTGGAGGAACCATAAAGAAAATGTGAGCACATCTTGATAAGAATAGCCAGGAAAAACCCAAAATATGCCAGGTCATTATCTTATGCCAGTTAAATTTCAAATATGCCAAATTTGTGAATTCTGGCATTATAAATGCAAATATGGCAATGCTGGATCTGGTAGGAAACCGTTGCCATTCAAAGTTAATATGCCTGTGTGGCTCTCTCTACTCACTTCCGCCCCAACGTTTCACTTGACATGTTGGAGAAACCTGGACATCTCAGGGTGGGTTTGTGGACTAAGCCTCAGCATTGGGGTGTGGAATCGGCGACTGGGTTGCCCATTGGCTCGCCGGTAGTCGACTTCGTCGCCGGTCGGGAGAGTATTTGGATGTCTTCTTTTATCACAACACTGCACGAGTTCTTTTCAGGCTTATGGTGGCGTGCAATGCTAATCCATTTGATATTATATGGCACACATAAGCTAGTCACAAGTTTAACCTCAAGCATCTTCTTCAGGGATGCTGGCGGAAGGTGGCGATTTGTGTCTTCAGCAAAGCACCTACCTAGCTGGGGTGTAGCATGATTCAATGATAAGGGTAGTACCTCAAGAAGGGGGACCGCCCCATCCAAAATCCGTCTGACTTATTAGGCCTTATTTCTTCAACTAGTTCATTATGGCTCCTCGTGCCACAAACCAGATAACGATAGTGGCTGACTGGCAAAACTAAGTGAAATTAATATGAGTGGAAGTCATCCTGAGTAGATGAAGCCCAAAAGCCCTAGAAGGCAATTCGTCTCGGTGACAGGCACACTGAATTCTCAACCATTACTGCTGTGTGGCAGTTACTGTAAGAACAAAGGCTACGGCAACAAAGCCCGATATTAGGGTAGGGTAGGGGAGGAGGAGGGTAGGGGGAGGAGGAATCCTGAACATAAACCCCAACCGTCGAAGTCGGAAGATGTCGGCCTACTTGGCACGGGTCTAAAAATCTGGCATCTACGACCTAGCCATATGGTCATGCAAACAACATGGTCTAGGAGTAATGATTGAAAATGGAGAATTATTCACAAAATTGTGTGCAGGAAACCAGTATATTATTTGTAGAAGTATTTTTTGCCATAAAGGAATACATAAGGCAACACGGGAATCACCAGACCACAAGACAACCAGTCAAATTGATCATCTATGTATTAATAAAAAAAAAGAAAAAAAGTTTAGATCATCCCTTCATGATGTTAGGGCTTTTCAGAGATGCCGATGTATTTTACTGACCATTTTTTGTTGGTAAGTAAAATCAAGTTGAAGCTTAAAAGATATATAACAGTATAGAAACCAATATAATGTAGGTTATTTCAGTGATAAAAAAGTTATGGAACAATTTCCAGTAATAGTCTTTAATAAGTACCAGATGTTGCAGCAGTTAGCTGAAGATGTAATCACTGAAGTCTGCTGGGATCAGATCAAGGGAATCTGGAATGAATCTTGTGGAGAAGTTCTTGGCAAGAAAGAACGGAAACATAAAGCTTGGATAACACCAGAACCATTAAATTGATTGATGAAAGGAACAGTAAAAAGGCAGACTTAAACAATAGCAAAACTAGAGCTGCCAAAGCTAGAGCTAAGGATAAATACACAGAAGCCAGTTCGGAAATTAGGAGGCGTATAAGGGCAGATTTATTCTCATCTGGCGGCAGCCTTTACAATTCTCGCAGGCTGAAGGCCAAAACCAGGATAAGAAAGGTACTTATCAGAGAGCTGCTGTTTGCAGATGATGCCGCAATAACCACCCACGCAGACGAGGAGCTGCAATGTTCACTATCTGCCTTTGCCGATGCAAGCTGAGAATTTGGACTAACAGTCAGCAAAAAGAAGACAAAGGTTGTGGTGCAAGATGTTAATGATAGACCTACAGTCTACATTGATGGTGAAGAGCTCAAGACAGTTGACCATTTTACCTATCTGGGTTCCACAGTGAAAAGCAAACTATCGCTGAACCAAGAAATCAACACCAGGATAGGTAAGGCAGCAACAACAATGAGCAAATTGACAAAAAGAATTTGAAAAAACAGAAAGCTAACAATTAAAACAAAAACCCTTGTCTACCAGGCTTGTGTTCTCAGCACTCTGCTTTATGACAGCGAAACTTGGTCAACCTATTTGCACCAAGAAAGGCGGCTTAATAGCTTTCACATGCGATGCCGAAGAAGAATACTTGGCATTAAGTGGCAGGACAAAATCACAAACACTGAAGTACTGGTAAGAACAGGTACTACAACAGTCTTTTCCATGCTCAGTCTACGAAGGCTCAGGTGGCTGGGTCACACATGGAGGATGGCAGAGTCCCTAAGGACATACTTTATGGTGAATTAAAGACAGGAAGAAGATGTCGAGGCCGACCTATACTACGCTATACAGATGTGCGCCAGCGGGACATGAATGATACAGGTATTGAGGCGGACTCATGGGGACAAAATGCCATGGACCGTGTTGTGTGGAAAGGGCATATCAGGAAGGGAATGAGACTGAAGGAAGAAATGATTGCAGAAAGGATGAGAGCTGAGCGTCTGAAAGGGAACGGATTAAACACAAATGTTGACAAAAATGGTCCTGAAATCCCATGCTATCATTGTGGAAGACTTTTCTTGACACGGGCAGGTCTTGCTAGTCACACTCGCCATCGCCATGGGCTGTGAGTCTTATGCTTCCTCATAGCGCAAAATAACACTATCGTCTGGAAAGACGGAAAGGTGCCAATGAAGGGCAGATAAAGTGAAATATTTAAACGATCTAGCACATGAAGCGGAGACGTCAGCAGCAAAAGGAAACCTTAGAAAACTTTACAGTAAACAAGAAAATGGGTAGGTAAATATAGTCAGCCAACTGGATCAATAAAAAATAGTCAAGGAAAGGTACTTACCAACACTAAAGATCAAATGGACGGATGGACTGAATATTTTGAAACACGTCTAAATAGACCAGACCTAAAGGTCCCTCCAGATATCCAGCCTTTTGAAATGGAAGTGGATATCAACTGTGAGATACCATCTAAAGAGGAAATTAGAAAAGCTATCAATCTTCTCAAGGAAGGAAAGGCGGTAGGTCCAGATGGCATCCCAGCAGACGCTATATGGGTCAACGTAAACACATCAACGGAATTGCTAGATAGATTACTTAGTAAAGTCTGGGAGACCGAAGAAATACAAACAGACTGGAGAGAAGGATATCCCGTGAAACCCCAGAAAAAGTGATCTACAGGAGTATTAAACTATAGAGGAATTATATTGCTGTCAGTTCCTGGAAAAATATCAAGTAGAATTATTTTTGAAAGATTAAAAGACGTTATTGATAAAAAGCTAAGAGATGAACAGGCAGGTTTTCGGGAAAACAAATCCTGCACTGACCAGATAGCCACATTACGTATAATAATAGAGAAAACATTGAA